TTCTTCTGAGTTCTGCTGGCATGGAAGATGGATCTCCATCCCTTTACTTTCAGTCTGGATGTATCTTTAGGTTCAAAATGAGTCTCTTGTAGGCAGCATATGGATGGGTCCTGTCTTTTTATCCAATCTGCAACCCTGTGCCGTTTTATGGGAGCATTTAGGCCATTCGCGTTGAGAGTGATTATTGAAAGATATGAATTAATTGTCATCATGTTGCCTGTGAAGACGTTGTTTTTATAGATTGTCCCTGTAAATTTCTGTTGTAGATCACTCTTGGGATCTTTCTCCTTTTATAGAACCCCCCTTAATATTTCTTGCAGGGCCGGCTTAGTGGTCACATATTCTTTCAGTTTCTGCCGGTCGTGGAAGCTCTGCATCTCTCCATCCATTCTACATGACAGCCTTGCTGGATAAATTATTCTTGGCTGCATGTTCTTCTCATTTAGTACCCTGAATATGTCTTGCCAGGCCTTTTCTCTGTGGATAGGTCTGACGTTATTCTGATGCTCCTCCCTCTATACGTAAGGAATCTCTTCCCCCTAACTGCCCTTAAGATGGTTTCCTTGGTTCTAAGATTTGCAAGTTTTACTATTACATGCCGGGGTGTTGGCCTGTTTTCCTTGATCTTGGGAGGGGTCCTGTCTGCCTCTAGGATGCGAATGTTTGTTTCATTCCCCAGATTAGGGAAGTTCTCAGCTATGATTTACTCAAATACATCTTCTAGTCCTCTTTCTCTCTCCACTCCCTCCGGGATTCCAATGATTCTGACATTGGAACGCTTCATGGTGTCATTTATTTCTCTGATTCTATTTTCATGGATTCTGAGTTGTTTTTCCCTGGCCTCCTCTTTTCCCTTTTTATCTATTATATTGTATTCCAGGTCGCTTATTCGTTCTTCTGCCTCACTTACCCTAGCTGTTAGATTATCTAGATTGGATTGGATCTCATTGATAGCATTTTTAAGTTCTGCCAATTCACCTTTCATTTCTGCCCTTAGAGACTCTATGTTGCCCATTAATTGATTTCTCCATTCTAGCCATTGTCTTCACAATTGCTAGCCTGAATTCCATCTCCGACATCTTGGTTATGTCTGCATCCATTTGTAAATCTGCAGCATAAGTCATAATCTCGGAGTCTTTTCTGTTTTGGGGGCTCCTCGTCCTAGTCATTCTGTTGATGGGTGTTTGAGGGAATGTATAGAGTCCAAATTATTGACCAGAACCCAAGCAAGATGCATCTGTTTTCTTGGGACCTTAGGGTTGCTGGCCTCTTGTTTTCCCAGCCTGTCTTCTGCGGGAGGGGCCTGCCGCGCTGTTACTCAGGCAACGCTGTTTGGGTGGAGTTGCCCTGTGCCCCTGTGGCGGGGGATGAGCTCAGTGGGATCAGTCTTTGGGGCTTTTGTTCTCTGGCATCTTTCCCTGGCTGCTTTCTGGGTCTCTTCCGCGAGTCAGAGCAGAAGAGACCATTTCCAACCCTCTGCCTCAGAGCAGAGAGACCGCAGTCTGTTCTTCAGTGAGCTCTCCAGGCCACACTGTCCCCGTTTCTGTCTGTGCTGCTATAAACTGCAGCGTCCTGGGTTGTGCGCCCCTCCGCAGCGCCCCCAGTCCTGCCTCCAGGTCGGGGCACGACTCTGCCCTTTGTGTTTCTAAAACCGCCAGCCGCTCCCAGTTTGCATGCCTGACTCCGCTGCTCAGGGTTTCCACCCCAGGGGCTGCAGTTCACCGGCTCGACCCCGGCGCACCAGGTTTCCCTCTCGGAGGCTGCAGTTCACGTGCGCATGACCGTCACTCTGGTTTCTGTCCGGGGTGGGGGGGTGGGGGGATGGGGGGTGGGCTGCGGTTTGCGTGCGCGTGACCCCGCCGGTCTGGTTTTCCGCCCCGGGGGCTGCCCTAAAGTTCTTTCCCAATGCTGCCGGTCTGCGAGTCTGTGCCCCGTCCACAGTGCGCGAGGCTGTCACTCACCAGTGGTGTAGGATCCCCACAGCCAGGCACCCTCCCGCTGCCATTTATCCTCTGGTATCTGCCCACGGAATCACGGCTCTCCGCTTTGTACCTCAAAACCAACTGCCTGCAATATTCTGTTTGTAGAGATCCAGATCTTACATCTCAGGCTGGTTTCGTGGGTGCTCAGAGTGGTCTGGTAGTTATCCAGCTCAATTCCGGGGACCAGTTGAAATAGGGTCCCCTATTCCTCCGCCATCTTTCCTTCCTCTACATCATTTTTGATTTTTTTAAAAAGATTATTTATTTATTTATTTATTTATTTATTTATTTATTTATTTATTTATTTATTTATTTAAAGAGCATGCGAGAGAGAGACAGACAGACACAGAGAGCATGAGTGGGGGGACCGGTAGGGGGAGAGGGAGAAGCGGACTCCACACTGAGCAGGAAGCCTGACCTGGAGCTCCATCCCAGGACCTTGAGATCATGACCTGAGCTGAGTCGCTGAACTGACTGAGCCACACAGGCGCCCCTCATTTTCAATTTTCTTGAACAATTTGTGTAAAACTGACATTTTGCCCTTAAATGTTTGATAGAATATACCGTTGAAACTAACTGGGTCTGGGATATTTGCATGTGTGTGTGTTGGTGTGTGTGTGGGGGGGTGGTTGTGGGGTAGGTTTCTTAACTACAGCTTAATTTATTTAATAAATACAGGAATATTTAGGTTAGCTATTTTTTCTTTGCTGAGTTTAATAATAGATATTTTCCAAGGAATTTTCCTACTTTATATAATGTATAGAATTTATATATATAAAATTGATATATTATTATTCTTTTAATCTAAAAGCTCTCTAGCCATGTCTCTCTTTTATTACTGAAATTGGCAATCTGGTTTTTTTCCTTGTTAAATCTAGCTAGAGATTTTTGAATTTTATTGATTATTTCAATAAGCCAGATTTTTATTTCATTGATAGTTTTCATTGCTTTGCTTTTCTGATATCAAAATGTCATCGGTTTTTGCCTTGTGTGTGTGTGTAATTTAATAGTTGTCTTTTGTAATAGTTGTCATACTTGAGTTTGAGTGTATTTCTTTCTTTTTAATTCCCTGTTGAAGTAGTGCTTCAGAAATTCTTATAGTGAAGGCCTGTAACTGTTAAACTACTTTATACTTTGTGTAGGTGTGCATGTCTTTATTTTGTTCCCATTCCAAAATATACTTTTGTATATAAAATTCCAGATTTGGCCATCTCCTTGCAGCATTTTGCATATTTTAACCTACCATTTTCTGTCTCCTGTCACTCTGTTATTAAGTCTGCTTTAGGTCCTACTGTTGAAACATTGTGGTAGCCTATCTTTTTTCTCCAGCTTCCTTTGTCATTTTTCTCTTCACTCTTAATCTTTATTTATTATTTTTTTATTATTTTTTTAAAGATTTATTTATTTATTTGAGAGAGCGAGAATGAGAGAGAGAGAGAATACATGAGAGGGGGGAGAGTTAGAGGGAGAAGCAGGCTCCTCGCCGAGCAGGGAGCCCGATGCGGGACTCGATCCCGGGACTCCAGGATCATGACCTGAGCCGAAGGCAGTCGCTCAACCAACTGAGCCACCCAGGCGCCCACTCTTAATCTTTATGATATCTGCATGTGACTGTATTTTTATTAGTCATTGAAGTGAAATGTTAGTCTGCAAACTCATGTGTTCCACCAATTCTGTGAAATTTTGTCTTCCTACTTTCTTACTCTTCTATTCTCTTCATTTAAAATACACATTTGACAATTTTTTAAACTCTGTAGCTTTTCTATCTCTTAGTTGATAAATTCCTTTGTACTATTTTCCAATTCCTCTTTTGCTGTGTCAAGTCTGGATAGTATTATGTCTTTCTCATCGAAGTGACTCTATTTTTCACTTCCTGTTCTTGTTCAATTTCTGCCCATTTCTGTTTCATGTTTTCCTGGAAATTGTTCCTTTATCTCTTCGATATTCCTACACAAATTTATTTTGTAATTTTTCTTTAGCTGTTCTATAAAATTAATTTCACATAAAGAGAACAGCTTTTCAATCAGTATTTGGCTGTCTTTCTTACCATAAGATATATTTGTGCCTTTAACATTTGCATCTTAGATGGATTTGAAAGCTTACTCCCCCCTCTATATGTATCCTTCATATCCTATAAAGTTCGAAGGTGCCATGCTGCCTTGTAGCTGTACTGAGACCACAGATGAGCTCCGTATCTAAGGCGCTTCTGCATTTCTTCCCCGTGGCACTTTCGTGGACATGACAAACCCTGTCTCTGAGCCAGTAGGTAGCCTGGTTCCACTTCTGGTATTTGTGCTCTCCTGTACCCCTTCTCCTGTGAACCTGAGCTCGGGGCAGAATTAACCACAGCCTCATGTCATGGTTGGGAGCTGCCCCTATGGCACTTTACTCCAGGTGCGGACTATAGCTTTAATCTCCCAATTTGTGTGGAGCACTTTTAGTCCATTTTGCCCCATGGATTACTGGCCACCACTGCTTTGGTTTGGATCACGACCCAGAAGGCTTGTGGCTTCAGCTCTGCTCATTGCTTTGCGTTTAAGTTTTGTTTCAGTCCATGGTGACGTTTGTTAGGTTTTTGAGCCCAACTCTCTCTTTTCAGATTTCTCTTTTTATGCTTAATTTATCATTGCTTTGTGTTTAAAGCTGACAGAGGGTATTAGACATATATTTAATGTCATCTCTATCAGAAGTCTTCTTGTCTTTTTCTAAGAAGAGAGCTGAGATTCAGGAGGGGGATCTGTCTGGTCTAAGGCCTTAGAGGGGGCTTGTCCCAGAGCCTGAGCGGGTCCTCAGATCTCCCAACTCCAGGCCCTGGGGCCTTTTCACTGTCCCCAGGTGCTCAGAAACTGCGCCGAAGGACAGGTCTCAGCGCTGAGCTGCTTCCTGCTTCCTTGCAGGAATGGACTAGGAGGCAGCTGCTGGAGAGAATCACCTAATGTTCCCTGAGAAGGTAGAGAAGATGTTTAACAGATTTCATCACCCCCAAAGTCTTGTCTGACTAAAAACCTTGTCTTTCAGCAAGCTGTCACTGCCTGAGGGAAGCACACCCGTGTGTGGTGCCACACGCAGCCGATGACCTTTGCATTCACCGCAACAACTGAAGCTCTAGAAACGGCAAGTTTTTCCCTTTGGAGGCAATGTGGCTTCCTTACAAAGAAGAGATATGAAGGGAAATTTTGATTTTCAATTTGAAATAGGCAAACATTTAATTGTGTGCTGCACAAATATAATTGTCAGTTGAAAAATGTCACTCAGCTGAAGAAAGAAAGTGTTCCAGGTGGTATGTGTATGTGTAGGGGGAAAAAAAAACCTGGTTGCTGGGAGCCGTCACCTGATTGGACACCCATTCCTCATAGTATTGCAGAGCTTTGTAATTAAAGGCTGTCTGATGGAACTATTTTACGACTTAGAAGTCTGTAAAGATAAAGCTATCAAGCAAATTCCCAACTGAAATCAAGATTTTTCAGTTAGAATTAGAAGGTAGATATTTTTCCTCCTTTTCATTACTTTAAAAATTAGAGAGAAATACTTTTAGTCTCTCTAGGCCTAGCAAATGTGCTGGAGGTTGAAAATGACTTTAGATTATCTTCACACTCTGGTTGGGCTGCTGCAATGCACGGAGACCTCTTACTCCTGCAGCTACTTGCTCATTGCACGTCTGCGGGGCTACTTTCTCCCTCATTTCTATAATTCAAAGCTCCAGATGGAACCCGACACCCTCAGAGAGCTACTTTTACTTGCAAAACGTGTATTGGGAGATGATTCAAGTTCCGTACATTGCACCGTTTGGGATCTCTCACCACCCAGCGGTGGTATGAGTGGGTATTCCGCCGAGCGAATGCCAGAAGGAAGGTGGTTGCAGATAAAGGGCATCCACAAACCTCAGAAGATTGTCATCACTGAGAACAGCTCCAGGAAGGGGGTATTTCCCTTGCTATGTCCTAAGATTAACGTGTGTAGCAATTGACCGATGTGAGTAGGCCAAGTCGGGGGTGTTTAAAGGATCAAGTCAGTGTTCGTCTAATGCTTTGAAGATAAAGGTGAAGACAGTAGGGCAAATTCCTATTCTTGTAAATGATCTAATAATTACTGTAATAATTATCCTCATCCAACCATAGACCAACAATATATTTGAGAACATTGAATTTCATTAAAGTATCGTGCATCTCAGCGGCAGTTGGGCTCATTGTAATAGTGCAGATCAAATAACCGTGGTAGCAAGGCCCCTCTGCTCACTCTCTCACACCTTGCAATCAAGTAACATACAATAGCAAATATACTTCAGGAGGCTGGAGGGAGGCCAGGGAGGCGAGAGGGCGGCCCGCTCCCAGGTTCTCTGGCTCTGCTGTGTCAAATGGTAAGTGAGTCTCTCCAGTGAACCAGCTAATATCTTTGTGTTGAACTGACAGGCTGTTTTGACATTATTAGACACAGCCAAACAAAGGATGAAAACCAACTGGTAGCCACGTTTCACAGTTCCTGGTTGTAGGCACAAAGCAATCAAACACACCTGCCAGAAAGCCTGAAATGTGGGCTTTCATCCCAGCATTGTTCAAGGTCCCCACCAACCCTCCCCTCCTTTATGAAGTTTTTCCAGCTAAAGTAACCATGGAGCGAGTCCCAGCCCTGTCCGAATCACAGAGTGAGACTCATGTTTTGCCCCAGCCCTCATAAACAGGTGCTTAACCTGTTTAACCCCAGATGGCAATGGGCCACCACAGTCAGGAAGGTGTAAGAGAATGACAGGGAGATTCTCAGGCATAGAACATGCTAGAACTTAGAGACCAGGCCTGCAGGTGGGAAGAGAGGGTCAAATATCAGGAGGTTTGATGCTCTGCGTTCAACCTAGTTTCCACATCCCAGACCTTGAAAGCCTTGATGCTTAAAGGTTCAGTAGAGTTTTGGGGCAAACCAAATGGTACTACCTTACATGATGTGGAGTAAATTTTGAAAACTTAATGATGTAGCAATGGGTCTGAAAGAGTTTTGAGTCAATTCAGAGACAGTAAGTCTATCATGTATTAGAAAAGAAGCTGTTATGTTCAGGTATCTACCCTTAATCAAGTTCTCCACCAATGGATCTGTTAATATCCTTATTAGAGAAAGAATCCAGGGCTGGAAGGATGGTGGTCCTGGTGGCATGTGTCTTTTCTCTGATGTAGCAGGAAAATTGAGGTTTGGCATGCATCAGCTGTGTCTGAGACACAGGATCCTGCCCTTCCTCTCTGCCTCCAGGCTTTCTGGGATATTCTTACTGGAACACAATTATGAGTCTTGCTTCAAACACCTCTCCATCTACTGTAGGTCATCATTAAATAGTCAAACCAATGATCAGTGAGCTTTCAAAATTAAGTGACTAACAGGGTCTTAAGGATATAAGGAAAGAGCAAAACAGTGATAATTTTCCCAGAGCACTGGAGTTTTTAGTCAGACCTGGAATAAAATCTCATCTGTGTCACCTAGAGCAAGTCACATTGGACTTCCTTAGGAGTTAAAAAAAATACAACAATACCATTTCTCTTGGCTTATAGAGTTAACATAAAGGTAGAAACAGATAATCTTTTGATTTACAAATTTTGCTTTTGGTGTATTGCTTGAAAATGTCTATGAAGACGGTTTTCTACTTTGTTAGCAGTTTAAAGTTTTTTTTTTGTTTTTGTTTTTGCTTTTTTTAAATTTATATTTGGGTTTCTTTTTTGGTGCTGTTTAAACAAGGTCATTATTTTTGTCCATTAATGGATAGCCTATTATACTAATGCCTTTCATAAAAGACACTGTCTTTCCTTAGTGATTTATAATGTGATTTTTGCTATAACACAAGTCACCATTAATGTGCAAGTTTGCTTCTGGGCTCTCTCTTTTGTTCACTTGTTACTTTTCTTTTATGCAAATACATCAATTTTAATATTTCTCTAGCTCTAATTTCTGGTAGGAGAAATTCTTTCCCCTCCTTCTCTTGACTTGCCTCCTTCTCCTCCTTTCTCCTCCAAAGATGTTTGATTCTTCTTAGATTTTCCTATTCCCCTCTGTAGTTTAGAAGTGATTTGAAAGATTCCATCTCAAAAATCTTGTTGGAATTTTCTTTGCCAGACTGATTTCCAGGATCTTTAATAATCATATTTTGATTGGTTCCTGTCAGCTGATGGAAAAAATAATGATTTATATTTGCTGATCTTGTGTTCAACACAGTTGCTTGTATAAATCCGTGTCTCAGCAAGAATGGGTGGAACCCTCAGATAGGTTAATTTGAGATGAGTTTAGTGAAGGGACTATTTACAGAGGTGTGGGCAGGGTATGTAAAATCACCATGGATAATACAGCAGCCTGGGGCTAGTAACAGTAAGGCTCAATCATCAGCCCTCTACCTGAAGGGTCAGAGGAAGGAGTAATACCTGGAACAGGACACAGGGAGGTCCCCATAGGAGGTCTGCCTGACAAGTTAAGACATTTGTGGAGGGGATCAATTGGCCAGAAGCAGCCACACAGAGTTGGGGAAGCAATATCCTGGCTTTACTTTGCTCTGATAGATCTCCTGCTTTGCCTCTGCTCTCCTTCTCACCACTGGCCAGATCCATCTGAAGCTCACAGAAGTTAGTGCCGTAGGGCAGAGACAGAGTAGGGAAGGCTGGGGATGGGTGTGAAAGTACAAGCGGAAGATAACCCACATGTTGCTGACTTCGGTTAGTTTTAATAGTTTGTCTGTCAGTCCTCTTGTATTTTCCAGATAGACATCTATGACATCATCAGATATTTGTCACTATTGATCCTTAAACACATTTGTTTTTCTTGTCTTATTTCACTGTCTAGGTCCACCAGTATAAGGTGAACTAAAGATTGTGATGGTGGTTTGTCTTGTTCCTGATTTGAATGGGACTACTTCTAAAATTTTACCAGTAAGTAGGCTAAGTGCTTTAGTGTGGATTTTGCTTTACATAGTGTTTTTTTTTTTTTTTTTAAGATTTTATTTATTTATTTGACAGAGAGAGAGAGCGCACAAGTAGGCAGAGTGGCAGGCAGATGGAGAGGGAGAAGCAGGCTCTCCGCTGAGCAGGGAGCTGGATGTGGGGCTCGATCCCAAGACCCCAGGATCATGACCTGAGACGAAGGCAGCTGCTTAACGGACTGAGCCACCCAGGCGCCCCTACATAGTTTTTTTTTAATCAAGTTAAGCTGGCTACTTTCTGATCCTAGGTAAGTACTTCCTGTTGTTATATAAAAAAATCATGAGCAGATTGTTATATTTTAACAGATACATTTTCATACCCCTATTAAAAATATTTCTCACTAACGGGGCACCTGGGTGGCTCAGTTGGTTGAGCGACTGCCTTCGGCTCAGGTCATGATCCTGGAGTCCCAGGATCGAGTCCCGCATCGGGCTCCCTGCTCAGCAGGGAGTCTGCTTCTCCCTCTGATTCTCCCCCCTCTCATGTTCTCTCTCTCTGTCTCATTCTCTCTCTCAAATAAATAAATAAAATCTTAAAAAAAAATATTTCTCACTATGTTAATGTGGTAAATTCCATTATTATGTTTTTGTGTGTATGTGTGTGTGAAAAAACACTCTTGCATGTCTGGAATAAATTCTACCTGGTTATGCATTTAAAAAATATATACTGCTATTGTTGATATGTTAATATTTTGTTTAGGAGAGTCACATCTATATTCATAAGTGAGATTGCCTGTAACTTTCTTAATTATCCTGTTTTCAAATTAAGTTTATACTGGCCAAATGAAATAAGATACACTTTTTCTTTTTTTTATTCTTGTAAATTTTGAGTGAAATAAGAATTAGCTGTTTTTTGAAGGTTTGGTAAAACTTTTTGGTATGGTGTCTTGGCTTGAAGGGTTGTATGTTTTTGACTGTCTGTGCCATTTGTTTAATAGTTACACATAAATTTGGGATTTGATGTATTTTGAGTCAACTAACATTTTGCTATATTTTAAAATTATTAATGCAAAATTATTCTGAATATACTTTTATAATGTCATTTAAATTTTATGTAGTTATGGCATAATTTACATTCCTCATATTATTTGTATATATCTGCTTTCTTTCTTTTACTCTTTTTTTCCATGATTAACCTTGCCAGAATTTCTTTCATTCATTCCCTCTGTCCTTCTTTATACCTTTCCTGTTTTCTGCTATTTCAGTTATCTTTCAGTTATTAATCATCTCTATAATTTTCTTTGTTTTATTTTATAAATTTTCCTCTTACCTCCCTTTTGACTTTTCAATACCATCTCTGGATTTACTCCTTTCTTTTAAGCTTTAAACCTATATAATTAGTTTTGATATTTATTTTTTTCTAATACATAAATGTGTAAGACTTCACATTTTCCTCTGAGAACTTTTTAGACGCCAGATGCCCAATAGAAATAATTATATAACCATGACTACAACGACAGCTACCATGGCAGGTATTTGTAGATATATATTGCCTTCATTGTAATTCAGTTCTAAATATTTAAATTTCTATTATAATATTTTTCAGCAATATTGTGTTTTCATTTTGCCCCAGGGTGTTTCCTTTTCTCTTTTTCCTCCATCCTTGCTTTTGTTGGCTAGATTGTTTTCTTTTTTTCTATTTCTTCCTCTAGAGGGTTGAAATTTATACATTTTATCACTATTCTTTTGGTGGTCACTCTAAAATTTTTTTACCATTCATACTTCAGTTAACAGAATCCAAGGTTAATCAATATCCTTATCTTCCTTCTGAACCTCTCTTGTTGTTGGCATAATTTAATCTACTTTGCATTTAAACTCTCCCAAATATATTATTTTTATTGTTGGTATTTTTAACAGTTAATGCTAATTTAAATGTATCAAAATGTTTTTTGTCCTTTGTTTCTCCTCCACTGATTTTTATACCAGCTATTTTCAATATGTCGTATCTTCAATAAATTGATGTATCATATCAAGTTTACAAGGTTCATTTCTGGAAGAGTGTGCACCCTTCACAGTTATCCTTGATATTCTTTTAAAAACCACTTCTATTCCACAGAAAGCAGCGTGGCAAGTTAGCTTACAAGACAATGTGGATTTGTCCTACATCTGCTAGATCAATGTCAAGCCTCAAGAATTGCAACTAACTAGGAAAAGTCGGTCAGAATTATATTCCATTCAGGAAAGAAATGTCATTTTGTGACCATTCAAGCCCCTAGTCCTCCTCCTTTTTCTCAAGGTGTGGTATCAAATGTCTGCTAGCAGAAGCCTCCGGGTTTAACGGAATGAAGAAGAATGATGTGTAAGCAATATGCGCTTTGAGTGAATATGGCGTTTCTGAACCATCTGAAACCCTTCTCCCTGTTGACTCTGGCTGCCGACATGATGGTCCTTCAGTTTTCAGGATCAGATTTGATGTGTGGATAAGCTGGTGATATACTTGAGGATTTTAGTATTCTTCACATATAAACCGAATACATCAGCCTCTCTGTGTGTGTGGGGTGTGTGTGTGTGTGTGTGTGTGTGTGTTAGAAATCTGTATTTTCCTCACATATTAGGCCATTCTTTAGCTAAGTTGTGCTTCAGATATGTTGTGTCCCTAATCTGAGGAAAAGAGAAATATTTTGAGGTTTGGTTTTTACAGCAATGGGTTTTCTGACACTCCAATATCTGAATAATTTGGAAGTTGTTGTGACCTTATAATTCAATACATCTCCAAATCTAAATCTATATGTTAATGGATAGGACTGTGTGTTTAATGCTTGCAATATAGGCAGAAGCTAACACAAAAAGCACTTTGTTTATTGTAGGCAAAATATCTGGCTTAAACTTTCAGCTTTTCATTCAAATTACCACTTGTTTCTAATTGGCAAAGTTATGTAATAAATACTCTGTCTGCTCTTTAAAAAATGAACCATTAATAGTCCATTTAATATAGATTACATGATAAACTTTCCCCTCTTTTAATAACCCTGACTCATCTTTGCTCCTGCTTTCTTCTTCCCTTTGTGTCTGGTGTTGGAGTAATATGCATCCTCCTTTTTTTTTTTTTTTAAGATTTTATTTGTTTATTTGAGAGAGAGAGAGAGCATGAGCAGGGGGGAAGGGTAGAGGGAGAAGCAGACTCCCCGCTGAGCAGTGAGCCTGATGTGGGACTCAATCCCAGAAACATGGGATCATGACCTGAGCCAAAGGCAGATGCTTAACTGACTGAGCCACCCCAGATGCCCCTGCATCCTCCTTTAGATCACGAACTCCCTGGAAACAAGGATTGATTTTATTCATTTTTGTATTTCTCCTGGAATGTTACACAGGGCTTTATAGGCAATAGGGGATGCCATTAATGCTGGCTCAATGAATGGATGAGTGGATGCTATTGTCCTTTGTAGCCCTGGTATTTTGGCTCAGGACCTAGGGATGATGGAGGGTGCGTTTACAGGATGATTCCTGTAAGTGATAGCCAGCATCCCACGTGGCTCGCCACAGATGCCTGAGGAAACCTGCCTTCTCCCTCTCTCTGTCCTTGCTAGAATGAGCGAAAGAAAAGAAGGACTGGTGGCAAATTTGCATGTTGAGTGAATTTGCAAACACATTATATATACAAACTCTCACGAGTTCTGTGTCTGGGCATCGCATGCCTCCCTCTCCACCTAATTATATTGCATAAATCTGCGAGTGAAAAAAATTGAATGAATCTTCACAATTTCTCAGATTCTGAGTGTTTATTCACCACTGTATTTTATATCAGCCACACTCTTTTCCTTGGCCATGTGTCTACATTTCTGTGCGCTTACTGTCTGGACACACTCCTTCTTAATACTTAAACAAAGGCTTAGATAGGCATATGCAGACACAGTATTAATGGGAGAAAAGTAGGAGCCATTTACAACTGGCACGTGTCCAGGAGACAGACACAGTCATGCCAGTGACAAGAGGAAACACAGTCTTCTCTGCTTTAGACTCTGAGTGCGTAATGAGCAGGGAATTGAGGAACGGGGCACTGCCTGGGCAGAGAACCAGATAAGGTGGCGGGACCATTCCCAATCTTGCCTCTGCCATACACCTCGTAAACTGATAACTCGGGGTAGAATTTCCCAGCCAGCAACTGGAGAAGAAGTGGGTTTTACAGCAAACTGAGACAGGCTGACAGCTCCCAGTAAACAGACATAGGTCTTCTCTGTAACCTGGATAGGAAGTCGCCGTCTGCTTCCCCATATCTTGTCTTTTGCACAGATCTTGTGCTAGTGTGTCAGAAGTTGACCCACAGAAAATAATAATGATAAAATCAATAGGTGGGTCACATTTATTGAACGCATGTCACGTGCCAGCAACTGTGCCCCGTGCTTTATAAAGATTTTATTTCCTTATTTGTCAGAGAGATAGAGAGAGCACAAGCAGGGGGAACGGCAGGCAAAGGCTCCCCGCCGAGCAGGGAGCCCAATGTGAGACTCGATCCCAGGACTTTGGGATCATGACCTGAGCCGAAGGCAGACGCTTAACCGACTGAGTTACCCAGGCGTCCCTGCCCAGTGCTTTATAAATATGAATCTCATTTCATCTTCTGTAAAAGTCCATTGAACTTATTTTGATTTCACAGATAATGAAGTCAAAACTCAGAGAGGTTAAGTAATTTTCCTAGCATCTCCCAGCTAGTAAGGGGCAGGGCTGGGGCTATGAGTCAAGCTTGGTTGTATCTGGCGACAGTGCAGCTCTTCGCTCTTTGCTGTGCTCTCCCACTCCTGGTATAACCCAGACCATGCCTCCAGAACCCCATGATGCCTTCTACGGACAGCCGGCATACCTTATACAGCAAAGTAATGTGCTTCCTTGCTTAGGTGTCTCACCCCACCGGGCTATGAACTCCCTGGAGATAGGACTCGGCTCATCTCTGTATCCCCACTGCCTAGCGTAGTATCTGGTGCAAAGAAGGAGCATAGGAGGGCGCCTGGGTGGCTCAGTTGGTTAAGCGACTGCCTTCGGCTCAGGTCATGATCCTGGAGTCCCTGGATCAAGTCCCGCATCGGGCTCCCTGCTCGGCAGGGAGTCTGCTTCTCCCTCTGACTCTCCCCCCTCTCATGTGCTCTCTCTCTCTCATTCTCTCTGTCTCAAATAAATAAAATAAAATATTTAAAAAAAAAAAAAAAAAGAAGGAGCATAGGAGATGTGTGATGAATGAACCGATACGTAAAAGAAACGAACATTTGGTAAGGCGCTGTTCTGTCAAAGACCCCTGATTGCTGTTTACTGGTAATCTCTGCCCCAGTAGAGAAAATCATGTCACATCATAGGATTTACATTTATTTTTATTATTTTTATTTTTTAAAGGTATTTTTATTTGAGAGAGAGAGAGAGAG